GTATGTATGTGTGCGTGCGTGTACGTTCTTGGGGCAGTCCATGCTACTGAGACTCCCGTGTCCGTGATGTGAATAAAGATCTTCCCAGTGGCTCTGTCGACGTCAATGGCCGTTTCATAAAGCTCACTCTCCCATGTCAACGCCTTCTTGCTCTTATAGGTGACGCAACACACGCGGGATTTGCCTTTGATTGGGAAAATTAGGGATGAGGTGTGTTGGGCATCGCGGATTTGCCTTTGGGGAAAATTAGGGATTCGATGAGGTGTGTTGGGCATCGGGATTTGCCTTTGATTGGGAAAATTAGGGAGTCGATGAGGTGTGTTGGGCATCGTCTGAAGAAGAAAACGGGATTTCATGGGTTTGGGATTCTCGTGAGTTGCTATTTAGGTTGTTTTTTTCTTTCTTTTATTTTTTTCCTTCTTATTATTTTTTTTTTTCTATTCCTTCTTTCTCTCCGTTTTTTTCAGGATTTGGGGATTTTCGTGAGTTGCCATTTTGGTTTTTTTTTCTTTTCTTTTATCTTCTATTTCTTATTCCTCTCCGTTTTTCCTTCTTCAGTCTTATTTCTCATTCTAATCTCTCTTTCCTTTTTCCTTCTCTCCTTTCCTTTTCTCTTTCCATCGCTCCTTCCTTCTCCTCTCCTCTTCTCACCCTCCCTCCTCTCCTCCTCTCCCTTCCCTCTCCTCTCTTCTCCCCCTCCCCTTCTCTCCTCCCCTCCCTCCCTTCCCTCTCCTCACCCTTCCCTCTTTACCCTTCCCTTTCTCTCCCTCCTCCCTTCCCCTCCCCCCTTCTCCCTACCGGATGTGGCCGTCTACGCTTCCCCTGTACTTTCTTTTTTGCGTTCGTGTAAGGAGCGTTTTCGTAGCGTTTGGCATTTTGCAGAAGCGCTCGATCTGCGAAAAGAACCGAGAATGCGAGACTGACTAATTTTCCTCTCCTTTCTTCTTCCTTCTCTTCTTTGGCATCTTCATTTTCTTCTTCGTCTTCTTCTTCTTCTTATCCTTTGGAAAGTCTTCAAAAAGGGGAAAATAAGAATAAAAAAAAGAACCGTTGTGAGGATGCAACCGACCGAAGCCGGAAGGATCGACCGGGGGTGGGGTGAGGGAGGGGTGGGGTGGGGGGTGATTTCGTCTTTCTAA